GGGGTCTCTAACTACAATGTTACCGCAGATATATAAATAGGGGAGAGAAAAATGGGTTATTGCTTACGTGGTCCAACATTTCCCTCTCTCAGTTAAGCATATGCAGCGCTGTATAATTGGAGGATGCATTATAAAGCCACGCAATAATATTGAACCGGCAGCAGTCTAATACAGTACAAATAATACAATCGAGTTAATGTTCGTTAATGTTCGCACCAATTCGGTCAAAACTGTGCGCAACATAGTACTGATCAGTGATGTTGGAGAAGTGCAGCCATCCTGTCAGTCATGCGGTGCGCATTGGAGTTCATTAGGTAAACATTTTAATTTAAGTCTGTTTATCTTTTTAATGTAGGCTAAATAAAATACATTATTTGTAAAAGACATTAATTAGTGACCCCCACAGATGCATGATTTTACTGCTTCCATTCCCACTGGCTCACACGTAACTCGAACCCTGTCCCTGGTTACTGTATCATTTACACTGAAATCCCTATCACAATCACCCAAAAGCATAAGTTATGTCATGGAACTCTCTGTTTAACATCAGCTAGTTGTCAGATCATCGTCATTTAATATTACCTGAATGATTGCCATGAAGCAAAACTGGACAAGTGCTTTGTCCAAGAAGTCGCCAGAGAAGAGCCCTTCATCCTTGAGTTGTCCAAGTTGCTGGATCCAGTGTTCAATCCCTTCCTTTCGCATTTGTCCCCACCAGCTCTCTATCCGCTGGTTTGCCGTGCTTGCTCCTGTTATATAGCTCCTCTCTCCTGCTCTGTCATCTTCATCATTTCGACGCAAATACTGTTGGATGTCTCTTACCAAAGCATTCTCTGTACCCATGTCTGTGCGTAAAAGCCTTGGACAACCGCCAGCCTGCTCTATTGCTTCAACAAAGTAGCTTCCAATAACTTTTGGATCGCTGCTTGTGTAGGCTGCTCTTAGCCATATAATCCTACGGGAATATCCATCTATGCATCCATTAATGCATATACCATACGGCTTGAGTTTGTCGTAGGAATCTACATGCCATATGAAATTAGGCCCCCGTGAAAAATACTGCCTGCGTCTGAGACGTCGTCTCTGGCGAGCTTGAGAATTGACTGGGTCCAGCTGAGACAGAAGGATCCTTACGTCTTCTTTCCTGACACGGATGCCTCGCTCCAAACACTTCACTTACATCCACCGATACCCATGAAGTTTTCCAGGGCCTTCGAGTTGGCTACATATAAAGTCGACAGCATCCTCTAAATTATCATATTGCCGACGATGTAATCCATACACTTTCAATGTCTTCATTAACTGCCTTTTACTCACAATAATCCCTTGCAAAGCAAGTGTTTTCATTATATCCTGGTAACGCATCCCTAAATTAAAATACAACTTAATCAAATTATCTCTATCCATGGCTATTAGTTATAGTTATGGAGGCAGCTGTCGAGAAAAGCTGCTCCCCATTGTGCATTCTCCTTTTATATAAAGTTATCTTGAGGCCACGTTAGTATCTTGAGGCCACGAGTTACTATCTTGAGGCCACGAGTTGGTATCTTGTGGCCACGAGTTACTATCTTGAGGCCACGAGTTACTATCTTGTGGCCACGAGTTAGTATCTTGAGGCCACGAGTTACTATCTTGAGGCCACGAGTTACTATCTTGAGGCCACGAGTTACTATCTTGAGGCCACGAGTTACTATCTTGAGGCCACGAGTTACTATCTTGAGGCTACGAGTTAGTATCTTGAGGCCACGAGTTAGTATCTTGAGGCCACGAGTTAGTATCTTGAGGCCACGAGTTACTATCTTGAGGCCACGAGTTAGTATCTTGAGGCCACGAGTTACTATCTTGAGGCCACGAGTTACTATCTTGAGGCCACGAGTTAGTATCTTGAGGCCACGAGTTACTATCTTGAGGCCACGAGTTACTATCTTGAGGCCACGAGTTAGTATCTTGAGGCCACGAGTTACTATCTTGAGGCCACGAGTTACTATCTTGAGGCCACGAGTTACTATCTTGAGGCCACGAGTTAGTATCTTGAGGCCACGAGTTACTATCTTGAGGCCACGAGTTACTATCTTGAGGCCACGAGTTAGTATCTTGTGGCCACGAGTTAGTATCTTGAGGCCACGAGTTAGTATCTTGTGGCCACGAGTTAGTATCTTGTGGCCACGAGTTAGTATCTTGAGGCCACGAGTTAGTATCTTGTGGCCACGAGTTACTATCTTGAGGCCACGAGTTAGTATCTTGTGGCCACGAGTTAGTATCTTGAGGCCACGAGTTAGTATCTTGTGGCCACGAGTTAGTATCTTGTGGCCACGAGTTAGTATCTTGAGGCCACGAGTTAGTATCTTGTGGCCACGAGTTAGTATCTTGAGGCCACGAGTTACTATCTTGAGGCCACGAGTTAGTATCTTGAGGCCACGAGTTACTATCTTGAGGCCACGAGTTACTATCTTGAGGCCACGAGTTACTATCTTGAGGCCACGAGTTAGTATCTTGAGGCCACGAGTTACTATCTTGAGGCCACGAGTTACTATCTTGAGGCCACGAGTTACTATCTTGAGGCCACGAGTTAGTATCTTGAGGCCACGAGTTACTATCTTGAGGCCACGAGTTACTATCTTGAGGCCACGAGTTAGTATCTTGTGGCCACGAGTTAGTATCTTGAGGCCACGAGTTAGTATCTTGTGGCCACGAGTTAGTATCTTGTGGCCACGAGTTAGTATCTTGAGGCCACGAGTTAGTATCTTGGGCCACGAGTTACTATCTTGAGGCCACGAGTTAGTATCTTGTGGCCACGAGTTAGTATCTTGAGGCCACGAGTTAGTATCTTGTGGCCACGAGTTAGTATCTTGTGGCCACGAGTTAGTATCTTGAGGCCACGAGTTAGTATCTTGTGGCCACGAGTTAGTATCTTGAGGCCACGAGTTACTATCTTGAGGCCACGAGTTAGTATCTTGAGGCCACGAGTTACTATCTTGAGGCCACGAGTTACTATCTTGAGGCCACGAGTTACTATCTTGAGGCCACGAGTTAGTATCTTGTGGCCACGAGTTAGTATCTTGAGGCCACGAGTTAGTATCTTGTGGCCACGAGTTAGTATCTTGAGGCCACGAATTACTATCTTGAGGCAACGAGTTACTATCTTGAGGCCACGAGTTACTATCTTGAGGCTACGAGTTAGTATCTTGAGGCCACGAGTTAGTATCTTGTGGCCACGAGTTAGTATCTTGAGGCCACGAGTTACTATCTTGAGGCTACGAGTTAGTATCTTGAGGCCACGAGTTAGTATCTTGAGGCCACGAGTTACTATCTTGAGGCTACGAGTTAGTATCTTGAGGCCACGAGTTAGTATCTTGAGGCCACGAGTTACTATCTTGAGGCCACGAGTTACTATCTTGAGGCCACGAAATACTATCTTGAGGCCACGAGTTACTATCTTGAGGCCACGAGTTACTATCTTGTGGCCACGAGTTACTATCAATTTATATACTATTTATACTATTCAATTTATATTGAATTTTATACTCCATGGTTATACTAATGAAACGTTAGTCACAAAAACAGATAAAACAGACACCCCTCGTTGTGTTTATGCTTCTTTTTAAAATTATATTAAATAAACATAACTATATATAAAATTACATCTAAACGTATGTGTGTTTCGTTTCAAAGACGGGAGGACAGTAAATATTGAAGACTCTGCCATAATCCCGTTTTCTCCGGTTTTCCTCCGCTTTAATCTACACAACCGGAAATGGACGAGCATCCTTACGTCAAATGCGGAACTTATGCGTGCATATAGCCCATTGTTAGCTTTATTTTTTAACTATAAAAACTTTAATCAGTTGAACAAAAGATCTTAAGTTGGGAGACATGTCCCCTTACTCAGTAAATTAAGTGAAGTGAACTACTTGGTTTAAAAGTTGAGTAAAACTCAAAAAAAGCAAGTTGCCTTGAAATTTTAAGTTGTGACAGCTTTTCGGTTTTTACAGTGCATCTAGCTTAAGTCATTATTTTTATACTAACAAAGGGCCAGAGTCCATCATACTTTGTGCTAAGGATACTGCCAGCTGACCTCGAGGAGAATAACCAAACAGAGCTGAGAAACCATATTTTAATAGCAGATACGGTGATCACAGCCTCCTCAACAGTTGCACAAAGAATACAGGATGTTTATAACATGGAGTATACAACGGCATTATTACAACTGAAAGCAGAGGTCTTCAATTGTCCAACATATTCATTGGATATGACTATTATGCAGACTATATTTTTCTTACTCTTATTTCATTTTTCTATCAATGGTCATATGTATTGTAAAAAAAATTCTGTACTATCTACCAAATGTATATGTGGTACTGCAGAGATAACCTCTGTGCTGTTCTATAGACTTACCCATGACACTTTACTGCACCATCATTATTGGAAATGTTCATTTGTGACGTACTGTATGACTGCACTTGATAATACGAAATAAAAGAAAGGTTAAAAAAAAGGGTCAGAGTGATCACTAAATGCAGAAAGATTGAACTTTGTTGAGTCGTCGGACCTGGGGATGTGCCTCTGTCTTCATCTCGCTCCTGCTCATAATGACAAAACAAAACAAGAACACAATGTTTGTCATTCAATCTGCTGTTCTCAGCACTGGCTTGATGCAGTGCAAATCACTATCAATAAAAAACATCTGCCGAGTGCATAAATTATGCATTTTTTACCCGAGTTCAGAGGCCTTAGATCCATCACTGAAATGAGGTGTAAGAAAATCAAAGGATTCCTCCGACTTTATGGACACACTGCTCAGATGCGGAGAAGCTGATCTTGGCATCTGATAGACATCAGGTCCAGAACCTTCTGTTTGCTCTGAGAATTGTTTGTCAGATGGGTCCTCTTCATCCTCACTTACGGTCATTTTAAGGGTAGTGACCTTCCTTCCTCAAACCTTTTAAAGACTTACTTCACACCTTAACATGGAAACATAAAGACAAAAAGAGATATAACTGGCACATTTCTTGATTGCGCACGGAAATCGGGAGGAAATGAGGAAAATCAAAATTGTAAAATTTGCAAAAACAACAGATTTGCAGTAAATATTGGAGGCGTATGACCTTGTTTGTGCCCACGCTGAAAAAATATTGAGGAAAAATTGTGGTTTCACTTTATTTTGATTGTCGCTTTGTTTGTAGGGATGTTTGTATGTTGGTATGTTTTATCTTACCTCAAGGGCATCCAAGATGTCTTTGTTTCCACAGTATTTTCAATTTTGATATTTTTAGGTCAAACCGTTCTTGTCTGTCAGTCATATAATGGAGGTCTATGGTCACCACGATTAAACATGCCCAAATTAAACATGATTTAATGACTCATAAATGTTAAGTACACATTGATGGCCTAAGACACGAAACGAGCGGTTTGTGTGAGAAAACGAACGGTATTTATATCGTTTTTAAACACGGCAAGAGCTGTGCTGTTGGTAACAAGAGCTAAAAACGATATAAATACTGTTCGTTTTCTCACACAAACCGCTCGTTTCGTGTCTTAGGCCATCGATGTGTCCTTACATTCACGAGTCATTAAATAATGTTTAATCTAGACTTCTCTGCGCATGCTCTTTGAGGTGGTGACCATAGACCTCCATTATATGACTGACAGACAAGAACGGTTTAACCTAAAAATATCAAAATTGAAAATACTGTGGAAACAAAGACACCTACATATGCCCTTGAGGTAATATAAAACATATCAAAAATTTACATTTATTTTATTTAGGATTAGCGCCTTGAGATGAACCATCTCGTTTTCGAGGGGGTCCTCGAATCTAGATACAAAAAAAAATGGCCTTACAATAGCTGTCGAAAATAAATCATAACAAAAAACCCCTAAAAAAAACAAGCAATATATAAATGTATTTAAGTGTACTTGAACACAATTTCTGTTGAGTAGAAGTAACTTGCACCTACATTTCAACAAGTATTAGTAGACTGGTAGAGTTATGGTTAGAATAAGTTGACATGTATAATAGTTGCAAAGTTTCTGATAGTCAGAATGTCTGTATGAGGAAAGATAATAAAGGGTTAGCAGATATTAAGCAGACAGTCTATTAATACTCTAATGAGAGTAGCATGAAGTTGCAAAGATACTTACTACAGAATGTTCAATAGGGACCATCAATATAAAGTGTTACCAAAATTGACCTTGTTTTATGTTAGTCTACTAGTTTCTAAAGTCAAATCAAGCTTGAATCTTCTACCCTCAAAAGACAATGCTAAGACGACAAACTTGAAAAACTAGTCTGTAACAAGGTTCAGGGAAGAAGGAGGCAGGAACCGGATAATAATGAAAAATAAAACTTTATTTAAACAAAATAAACAAACAAAATACCTGCCAGCAGCCCCTCACGGACGACTGCTGGCTACCGAAAATAAAATATAAAATACCGGCCAGCAGCCCCTCGCGGACGACTGCTGGCTTACCAAATAAAATATAAAACACAAACAAAAGCAGGCCTGTTCCTCTCTCCATCATCCACTCCGTCGCTGCCCCTTTATGGCTCCGCTCCTTCGTGAGAGATGCGAGACCGGTGTGCTTCACAGGTGCTGCTCATTAGCAATCGCACCACCGGCCTCGCGACTTTCTCTCACGTCCCTCGGCCGTCCTGCTCACCACATAGTCATTCTCGTTACATTGTGTAACAAAAACGGTAAACAGCATCTACAAAATTTCATTATAAAGAAACGTACAATATGGCCTTCTGTCCATAAATTTTAACACATTTAAACAAAAGTATATTTCACCAATCTGAGGAAATTTAAAGGGTGTATTCACACCAAGAAAGTCCGATAGTTCACTTGCTTTGGTCCGGACCAAATACAATATTAATTTTTGTTTGTTTGGTACTGTTTGCTTTTACACTGCTCTTTTTGGATGATTTGGATGTATGAAATCAGTAAAAGAAGAAATATTGCATGTTGAGATATCTGCATGAATATTTTCCCTGTTTGAGAATCCTGGACGACTTTAGCACAGGTGTGGTTCTGTTTACAAATGTTGGTTTACCTGCAAAAAAGAGCAGTGTAAATGCGAACCGTACCAAACAAATAAAAATCAACATTGTATTTGGTCCAAAAGCAAGTGAACAATCAGTGTGAATACACCCTAAAGTACATCCCTATCCATTGACGTTTCCAGTTTAGGTTCCCTTGGAAAGTTTGAATAATAATAGGCCTAATTAAAATAATAATAATAATAATAATAATAATAATAATAATAATACAAAACATCAGTCTTGAAATTCCCTTTGAAAGCTGAAAGTGACAGTCCATTTTTAAATGACTAAAAATTCATTTCTAAACCTACCGCACAACACGGACGTGTAGATTCTTGTTGTTGAAAGCACTCAAATGGCATCTCTGTTTTCTTGTTTTTACTTTCATTTACTTACATAGGGATCAAGTTACTTACTCCAGAAACCCGAAAACATGAATAATTAATTTGTCAGCTTTAAGACTACCCTTGTGAAAAAAAGTGCACTGCACTTATATAAAGTGTACTTATTACACAAATAATATACTTTAAAGGTATACACTTAAGTGTGAATTAAATGCAATTTTTTCGCCACACTGAATGCACATTAAGTGTAATTGATTTCAAATATATCATATATTAAGTTCAAATAAAATGCAATAAGTTGTCATTGAGAGTGATTTTTTGGTACCACTTAAGTGGGACTTTAATACAACTTTCATAATTGCTTTTAGTCTATTTAAAATGTATTTAAAGTGCACTGCTCAATGCACTGACAAGCAATTCATGTAAACTAAAATGTACTTTAATGTCACTTAATACACTTAAATGTGAATTAAGTGTAATGTTTTCAACAAACTTAATGCATATTATATGTAATTGATTTCAAATGTAGCACAGATTAAGCTCAAATTAAATGCTATTAGTTGATATTATGAGTGATTTTTGAAATATGTGTACTGCTAAATATACTGACAAGCAATTAATGTCAACTAAAATATACTTTAATGTAATATACATGTATATTATGTAATATACATTGTTTTTAGCTTATTGTCCACCCTATTATTTTTGACTATTTTCCTTTAAATGAAATTTGGACAAATAAATGTAGTTTTAAAGACCATTCTTTATAGATAAATCTCCTGCTGGCTTGTTTCTGCTCATTGGCTGATTGTATGTCCGAATGTCCCATGTTATATCTGAGGCGCAAACAGAGAGGACACTGAGAGTGAACATAGTGATTGTCAAAGTAATGTTCAAAAGGTATATAGCGGCCTCTATCAGGCATGTTTCAGATTGCAACCAATTTTTACAAGAGCAGACACTCCTCGTACACGGATACACTGAGACTTTACACACACCGGAGCATGTGGAGCAAAGCATCACTCAACATGCTGGAAACTCATGTAAACTCCCACTGCAACGCTACAATTATAGATACTTTTATCAGCTTGACTGAACTAATGCTCCATGCTCGTCATGATAACGTTACATTTGTAGTGTTATCTAGCATAAGGCATTTCACTAACTATTCATGTATCTTTCACAATCAGCAATGTCAACAGAGGTGAATGTATAATATGATAACGAAAACGGTTAGTGAACTAGACTGAACAATTTCAGTGTAACAGTAAGATCATAGGGAGTAACATTACTGTACTGAATCAATGTGTCTGGAAATGTGTATTATAGACAATATGGTAGTAGTGGGATGAGTGACGTTAGACAGTAGATCTAGTAGCCTACATAAAATAAAAGTTACATCCTAAAGCACCGGCTTTTTGTTATGCTGGAACAGTCTTTTCATTCATGTCAAGTCTCATGTATGTTGTAGTTTACCTTGCTATTTCATTAGTTTACCATTATTTATTTCAGCATGTCTGAAAACTTGTAATTTATCACAATAAAAATAGCGGAGGTCTCTCCATAATTCAAACGCTCTGAACTGTGTTTTCGTCGATTCGATTCACGTTTGGTCTGACGAGCTTCAGCAGATACATATTTTTATATATATATATATATATATATATATGTGGAGTTTGTGTTGGAGTGTGTTGCAGTGCTGTCTCATAGACTATATATATATATATATATATATATATATATATATATATAAAACGGGGTATGGGAGCACTGAGGCACGGGAGCACTGGGGCACGGGAGCACTGGGGCACGGGAACACTGGGGCACGGGAGCACTGGGGCACGGGAGCACTGGGGCACGGGAACACTGGGACACGGGAGAACTGGGGCACGGGAACACTGGGGCACGGGAGCACGGGAACACTGGGGCACGGGAACACTGGGGCACGGGAACACTGGGGCACGGGAGCACTGGGGCACGGGAGCACTGGGGCACGGGAGCACTGGGGCACGGGAGCACTGGGGCACGGGAGCACTGGGGCACGGGAACACTGGGGCACGGGAACACTGGGGCACGGGAGCACTGGGGCACGGGAACACTGTGGCACGGGAGCACTGGGGTATGGGAACACTGGGGCATGGGAACACTGGGGCATGGGAACACTGGGGCACGGTAAAAATAGGGCACGGAACACTGAGGCACGGGAACACTGGGGTATGGAACACTGGGGTATGGGAACACTGGGGCATGGGAACACTGGGGCACGGTAAAAATAGGGCACGGGAACACTGGGACACAGTAAAAATGGGGCACAGGAACACTGGGACATGGTAAAAATGGGGCACGGGAACATTGGACACGGTAAAAATGGGACACGAGAACACTGGGCAGGGGAACATTGGGACACTGTAAAAATGGGGCACGGGAGCACTGGGGTACTGAAAGACTGAGGCACAGGAAGACTGGGACATGGTGAAAATGGGGCACGGGAACACTGGGGCACTGGAAACACTGGGACACGGGAATACTGGGGCACGGGAACATGGGGACACGGTAAAAATGGGGCACGCGAGCACTGGAACACTGGGGCATGGGAACATTGTGGCGCGGGAAAAATGGGGCACGGGAACATTGGGACACGGTAAAAATGGGACACGGAACACTGGTGCAGGGGAACATTGGGACACTGTAAAAATGGGGCACGGGAACACTGGGACATGGTAAAAATGGGGCACGGGAGCACTGGGGTACTGGAAGACTGGGACATGGTAAAAATGGGGCACGGGAACACTGGGGCACTGGAAACACTGGGACACGGGAATACTGGGGCACGGGAACATGGGGACACTGTAAAAATGGGGCACGGGAGCACTGGAACACTGGGGCATGGGAACATTGTGGCATGGTAAAAATGGGGCACAGGAACACTGGGGCACGGGAACATTGGGACACTGTAAAAATGGGGCACGGGAACACTGGGACATGGTAAAAATGGGGCACGGGAGCACTGGGGTACTGGAAGACTGGGACATGGTAAAAATGGGGCACGGGAACACTGGGGCACTGGAAACACTGGGACACGGGAATACTGGGGCACGGGAACACTGGGGTATGGGAACACTGGGGTATGGGAACACTGGGGCATGGGAACACTGGGGCACGGTAAAAATAGGGCACGGGAACACTGGGACACAGTAAAAATGGGGCACAGGAACACTGGGACATGGTAAAAATGGGGCACGGGAACATTGGACACGGTAAAAATGGGACACGAGAACACTGGGGCAGGGGAACATTGGACACTGTAAAAATGGGGCACGGGAGCACTGGGGTACTGAAAGACTGAGGCACAGGAAGACTGGGACATGGTGAAAATGGGGCACGGGAACACTGGGGCACTGGAAACACTGGGACACGGGAATACTGGGGCACGGGAACATGGGGACACGGTAAAAATGGGGCACGCGAGCACTGGAACACTGGGGCATGGGAACATTGTGGCGCGGGAAAAATGGGGCACGGGAACATTGGGACACGGTAAAAATGGGACACGGGAACACTGGTGCAGGGGAACATTGGGACACTGTAAAAATGGGGCACGGGAACACTGGGACATGGTAAAAATGGGGCACGGGAGCACTGGGGTACTGGAAGACTGGGACATGGTAAAAATGGGGCACGGGAACACTGGGGCACTGGAAACACTGGGACACGGGAATACTGGGGCACGGGAACATGGGGACACTGTAAAAATGGGGCACGGGAGCACTGGAACACTGGGGCATGGGAACATTGTGGCATGGTAAAAATGGGGCACAGGAACACTGGGGCACGGGAACATTGGGACACTGTAAAAATGGGGCACGGGAACACTGGGACACGGTAAAAATGGGGCACGGGAGCACTGGGGCACTGGAAGACTGGGACATGGTAAAAATGGGGCACGGGAACACTGGGGCACTGGAAACACTGGGACACGGGAATACTGGGGCACGGGAACATGGGGACACTGTAAAAATGGGGCACGGGAGCACTGGAACACTGGGGCATGGGAACATTGTGGCATGGTAAAAATGGGGCACAGGAACACTGGGGCACGGGAACACTGGGACACGGTAAAAATGGGGCATGGGAGCACTGGAACACTGGGGCATGGTAAAAATGGGGCACGGGAAAACTGGGACACGGGAAGACTGGGGCACGGGAGCACTGGGGCACTGGAAGACTGGGGCAAGGGAACACTGGAACATGGGAACATTGCGACGCGGTAAAAATGGGGAACGGGAGCACTGGGGCACGGGAACACTGGGACACGGGAAGACTGGGGCACGGAAACACTGGGGCATGGGAGCACTGGGGCACTGGAAGACTGGGGCACGGGAGCACTGGGGCACTGGAAGACTGGGGCATGGGAGCACTGGGGCACTGGAAGACTGGGGCACGGGAGCACTGGAACACTGGGGCACGGGAACACTGGAACACTGGGGCATGGGAACATTGCGACACGGTAAAAGTGGGGCACAGGAACACTGTGGCACGGTAAAAATGAGGCACGGGAGCACTTGGGCACTGGAAGACTGGGGCACGGGAACACTGGGGCATGGTAAAAATGGGGCACGGGAACACTGGGACAGTAAAAATGGGGCACAGGAACATTGGGACACGGTGAAAATGGGACATGGTAAAAATGGGGCACGGGAGCACTGGGGTACTGGAAGACTGGGGCACGGAAAGACTAGGACATGCTAAAAATGGGGCACGGGAACACTGGGGCACTGGAAACACTGGGACACGGGAATACTGGGGCACGGTAAAAATGGGGCACGGGAGCACTGAGATACGGTAAAAATGGGGCACGGGAGGACTGGGTTACCGGAAGACTGGGGCACAGGAACACTGGAGCACGGGAAGACTGGGACACGTTAAAAATGGGGCACAAGAGCACTGGAGCACTGCAAGTCTGGGGCACGGGAACATCAGTTATTTTCCCTCCACAACACCTTAAATCCCAGTCAAGTTAAAATAAAAGCTTTTACATTTTATTCAAATTAAAGATTGTGTTTAGGTCAGGGGTCAAGCTTGTACCAATTAATCATGTTTAAGGAACTGAAGTCGTTGATACCCTGTAAAAAATTGTTTCAATCATTTTTTTTAAATACAAGTTTCAGAGGGTCAATTTACATTGAATGCATGCATGATCAGAGCAGTTAATATACGCTTCACAAAATCATTCTTCTACATATCAAAACTGAAATATCATTCTCTCGAAATAGAAACAGTTCGCCTGCATTATATATGAGCACTAATGAGATTCCACTGATCAAACTGAAGGATTCCAGCAGAACAATCCTGAAATAGATTCTCAGTGCCAAGGCCTGGAGTGAGGATGGGTGAATCTCACAGAGAAATGTCATCCAGATTAGATTCATTTATTTGCAGAATTGGCATTAGCCGTTACTTTCGATCGATTTGGACGTTCAGCATGAGTTAAATTATGTGTTTAGATGTCTATCAAAATGTAAAGCAGGGTTGTTTGAGAGATTTCAGTATCTCAATTTAAGGATCATCATGAACATCTCTGGATCATGTTTTAGTTGTTGAAGGGTGGCGTGACTTACCCCGTGGGGCTCTGGGAATGAGTTCTGTCCCGACACAAACTTCTCGTTCTGAGGTTTGGACAAACTACCTTTGTCATGTGACTTACCAGCATCTCTTCATAAATCCTCTCCCGTGGCCTCATGGGATAGTAAAGTGTCCATCGTGAACACACTTCAGAATCTCACCTGAAGTATTATGTTCAGATGGCAGCCTAGTCATTTCAATGGCAAAGTGTCTCCCAATCAATCTGAATTCACCCTATATCAGATTAAGAACATTCAGATGGTTTAAACATGCACATTTATCAGAAATTACTGCTCATTACAAGATTTTAAGAAAGCACAACAAATTAGTTCAGTCTTTTGAGATTTCAGATTCAACAGTCTTATAGTTTTGCAGTTGGGAGGTGTTGTCTAAAATGAGGGCTAGTCACGGTCTCTCCGAGTATGTGCTGTCACTTTTGCACCATGATGTCATTGTTTGCTAGATAAAGATGGGTTGTTTGCCCCAGTTTCCTGGATGTCCACCATCTGAAACTTGGTTTTCCGGGTTCACCAAAGGATGACTGTGGACTGGCGGGCCATCTCTCCCATTAAACACATTTGCAAGTATTTGCATTTCAACCAAACCAAACCACTGCAGCAAATGGACAAAACAATGATCACTTAATGCTGTGCAAGTCTGAAGGTTAGTTTTAAACATCGCGAGTTGCCAGAGCGCTACTTAATACTCTTAAAAATCGGATTAGCACAGAGATGTCTCTCGAGTCTTGTTCCCTATTGACACGGTTAATAGAGTTCACAATTTAACGAAACAAAAAAATGGTGTAGGATTTACTTTGAAACAATTTGCACTCATAATTACAAAGATACGGCAAGAAACACATTGAAGAAAATGAAGAAATTAGGCAGAAAGACTGAAATAGTATGTAAAACTCTTCAATAATCTCTGTTTTGATTAAATTTGAATGATGAATTCCTTCATCATTGTATAAATATAAGCACTTTTCACAAAACTGAAATGTGGATTAATAACAATGAAACACTAGATTTTATAAAGGTATTTATTCCGTAAATAGAACTTTCATAACATCAGCAATAAACATATTCACTGTGAGGAGAGTACAATAAGAAGAACATGTGTTTACACAAAGAAAAGATGAAACTGCAACATGGATGATTGACATCACAGCTAGATCAGGTATTCCCAGGTCTAGATCGAGTCTTATTGCTAATGTCTGTGGCATTTACTGCGTTGCTATATAATCAATGAAAACGCATTATATAGCAAAACAATTCAGCCGTTTGATTCTAACGCAAGAACTGAAACAGTTATGATCAACATTGAGATGAGAAGTGATATACAAATTAAAACTAGAGAGAAATAGTACCAAAATAGAGTAATCCACAATTGATTATGTAACCGTTCTCCATCATAAAACCTGATTCTCCAACTGCCACCCGGGTCACGGCACCAGATTTCTGGCCTTCGCAGCAAAAATAAAGACTAGACTCCTCAAAATGGGAGCGTTTATGTCGAGTTCACTTTTAGGCCTCTGTTACAGGGATATTGAGACAGACTGACCAAAGTGTAGCATGCAGTCGGATATCATAAACTTGAATATAGTTGATCTAAGCAAGTTTAAAACGGTTGTCTCGATGCTCCGGCCTCACAGTAACCCAGACTATGCCCTCTTACGTGATTAAATACACACACGCATACACACAACCAAACAGCCTTGACAAGTGGTTAGCACCACAAGCAGAAAAACAATGAACACGGCAACAATGATAAATTAACTGATGGCAATAGTTAGAAATGAACATTTAGCATGTGCAAGACAGGACAGGAGAGATGATATGCAGGCACATGACTGACGGAGGTGAACGTGACCGAGTTCAAGGACGATATATGCGAGGTTTCCATCCCGCAACATTCATGCATCATGATAATCTGTACAGTCCAAGTACAGGTAGGCATCTTAGGGTAGGAGGCTACAGGTTTGTGAGCAACTGCGCTCACGTTTAATACCTTGAAAATCAGGCAATTAAAAGAGGGAATTATGGCTTCAAACAGACCCCCTCGTTTTCCTCAGGAAAGACGGTGGCCCTCTTCCTACAGTTTCGTGGTTTACGAGCAGAAACGTTCAAGTCAGACACATCCTTTGGTTTTTCTGCGTATCCCTTGTTGCGTATCCCGCCGCTCTGATTAACAGAGCTCTTAAAGTGAGACATCAGTGGAGGTCTGGCTGGTGATTGGACAAGGGGTCGAGGCTAGGCATCTTCAGGCTCCAGACTGGGGCTGGTGCATTAACAACGAGACACCTCCATGGGCGAGAGCGTCAGGATGCTCCGGTCATTGGAGAAGAAGGTCTCGGAGTCACTCCAAGATCTGGAAGTATCAAGGAAATTGCGAACAGTGAGGGGGACAGTGTGGATGCTTCTGTGTTCAGCACATTACCATTCAATGAGCTCGATTCACATGCTCTATATTCACAACCTGTGAGGACCTGAATATTAGAGATTAGATTCATATCAAGCTATCCCCACCCAATTCAAACAGATGTTATAAAAGTAACAGACACATCTGTCCTTTCTATCATAGATTCAATTTATCTAATTTAGAACTTAAGTATGTTACGCTATTTTAAGGTGGCGTAGTTACATTGTATTAGCAATATTAAAGGGTTAGTTCACCCAAAAATGAAAATTCTGTCAGGAAATGAATAGTTGGAATAAAGTCGTTATTTTTGTTGTTTTTTGCGCACAAAATGTTTTCTCGTCACTTGATAAACTTAAGATTGAGCCACTGTAGTCACTTGGACTATTTTAATGATGTCTTTACTAACTTTTCAAGGCCAGCAAGTTTCAATCCCTCAAGAAGGCTATGGACTAGTATGCAGGAGTGATCCAGCTCTCAGATTTCATCAAAAATGTCTTAATTCGTGTTCCGAAGATGAACGAATGTCTTACGGGGTTGGAACAACATGAGGGTGAGTAAATACTGACAGAATTTTCCTTTTTGGGTGAACCAACCCTTTAATAACTACATGTACGAGTTACGTTTAAGGTTAGTTACTTGTAATTAAGCATAATTAACTATTATAATATTTTATTACTATAGTAAGTACATGTAGTAACGTGTAACTCTATGCCACCTTAAAATAAGTGTTACCCTTAAGTATATTTTACAATGCAAATGATTAAATTGTATAAATGAATATATCTACATTGCATCGACCACCTTTTTATTTAAATATCGAGATCTGCATCAATTCTTACACACAAAAAAAATCATTTAGAAGTCTTAATATATATATATATATTTTAAAATCCTTAAAAGTTAAATCAAAAATTAAAATTCTGTCATCCTTTAAGGCCAATTTATACTTCTGCGTCAAGGGTACGCCGTAGTGTACGGCGTAGGCAACGCAAGTAGGTGATGCCATTGTGAGCATTTCAAGTCTTGGTTGCTCTGCAGTACTGCTCCGAAACTCTAGTTGGCGGCGGAGGGTTTTAATGTTCCACTGTGTTTAGAATCCCCACGGCTAGCTTACTACAAGCAATGGCGACTGAAAGAGAGCGGATCATGTTGGAGTTGGAGCTTATTGAGGTAGTGAAATTACTAAAACAAAAAGGTAGAAACGAGAGAAGATGTCAGACGAGAGGGTACGTGCGGATATGCGTAGGAGGAAATGCGATCCCAGATAGCAAACTGACATTGAATCAACGTGGAAATATGACATCGAAACAACGTTGATCTGACATTGTTTTGCTCATCGAATTAACGTCGAACCAACGTCAGACGCGTCATTCTTTCAAAACTAATGGAAAATCAACTTGAAATCAACGCGTTGTTTCAACGTTATGAAAGCAAACCAATTTTCGATTTCATTTAGCTTTGAAGAATGCCGCGTCTGACGTTGATTCAACGTTAATTCGATGAGCAAATCAACGTTGTTTCAATGTCATGAGAGACGTCGTTTCCACGTTGATTCAACGTCAGTTTGCTGTCTGGGATGCTACCAAGCCGACCAATCCCAGATCTTGCGGTCCGCATCGCCGCGGCGTGTAGTTACATTTTTGAGGAGGTGCGCGTCAGGCTACGGCGAAGGGTACACGGTATGGTACGCCCCTATGCGTATGCTACGCCGTACCTACTGCACGCACTCTACGCAGAAGTATAAATTGGCCTTATACAATATGGTAAACGCAAGTTCGAGTTTCTGCAAGAACTAATAAGGTTTGTTCTCGCGCATTGATCAAACAGTTGAGCTTTCTCAAACGCCAATGTTTTCGGCTGAATAGACTTTTAATGGTGGGACAGAAATCCCTCCAGTTTCAATAAAAGATCTTCATTTGTGTTCTGAATGACGTGAGGGTGAGTAATTAATGACAGGATTTCATTTTTTGGGTGAACTAACCCTTTAACTGTCCTTCATTTTTGGTATTACTTGATTTAACTTATTATTTAACTGATTTATCTCACTTTAAAACAAATAAATCCATCTTGTTAGGTTAAAATGACCAAATATCTTGTATTATGTCTAATATATCATTTCAAACGATGGTCTAAAATGCATTTTAATTTGACACGTCAAACAATCTCTGAGGAATGGCTAACTTTAGCTTTGCATTTGCATCTTGTTTGGTTCCATGATTAAGTTTACGGTCTTGCCATTGTGTAAATGAGTTATTAATTATTGGGGTACAAGAGTATAGTGCATGAAGATCAGCAAGAAACAGACAAGAGTCACAGCCAATGGAGAAATGGATGAGGAAACGTTAGTGCAAGATGGGTTAATGGACATGGTTAATGGACAATAAACAAATATAAACACAACATCCTTCCACAGCCCTGGCATTCACATAGATTACATTCTCGTGAACGTATATTAACCTTTTTCTAGGCATAATATGTTGGGTATGGTACCTATGGTATATATGAAACTAAGATAATTTACAGTATACAAGTAGAAACCAATTCATAACATAAATCGAGTACTTGTAGAAAAATATGTGTATATAGGTTTACTATAAAATGCATATAATATTTGTAAATAGAGTGGAATTAAGCAGCCCTTGAGGATCTGAGCCGTTGCGAAGCCATGTTCCTCAAACGCCAGACCTGCTACTCTTGAACACCAGAGGGCATTGTCTTCATCAACAGATCAGCCATATTAGAAACAGATCCATGCTATATAAGAGCAAAAATACACTGATAGCTACAGTAATTATCTTTGGATTACGTGTAAGAAAGTAGTACAGGGCAAATTAAAAGTACCATCTTCATATGTTGCAGATGAAGACAACCGTTTTAAGATCTTGAAGAGGTAAAAAGTTAGAGCGTGTTTTACAGTATATCATTAAATGAATGCATATTCAGGGTACACGTGGCTTACTGGCTTCAAACCATAGTAAACAATCTCTTTCATTACCTAAAGCAGTGGTTCTCAATTGGTTTTGCTGTAGACATCATGTGATGTACCGAAGGCATACACAAATACCCGAACACTGAACAGTAAAGGAAACACTGTTTAGGAGGATGAGTTGGCTTCATGTTACCAAGTAACGGATGATTTTGTGCCAAACCAACAGAGTGTGATTGGATGCACAGACATAAAACAAACAAAAGATATGCGACACGACTATAGAGAATTGGCTAGAAGCAAAGTAGGAGACGAGACTCAAACTCAGATTGTCTGAAGCGTGTTTAGTGCGACATGAAGCCGTCCAACATGGGAAACGTTAGTCCTTCCTACAAACAAATTTAAAACAGCAACATACGAGCCATTTTTAGACCCACCAGTTGAGAACCACTGGAAGAAAAGCAGCATAGATCATTGATAAATGCAACAACTTATAATAGTTTAGATGCTTCATTTGCGACAGCATAAGACGGAGAGGGAAATAACAGGGTCAACGAACATCGATGAACACATACTCTGGCGTTCATCGATTGCTTAACATACTTGAATAGGAAACGCTGCCCTCATGCAGTTACACACACTGATTTGACTTCCGTAACTGTGCGTTCACACCGGACGTGAATAGCGCGTCAAATTCGCGTCTAGTTTAACGTTTGACCACTTTGGGTTAACTCGCGCATCAAGAGTGAAACTGACGCGCCGTAAAAACAAAATCGAAACCCATTGGCGGCCATCTTTTTTATGTTGATCGAGCATTCATCGAGAAAGTCACCGAGTATTTTCTCTGGAGAGCAGAACAGTGGCGTGGGGATCATCGTCGGCGTATTTGTGGCGAATCGTTTGGCGAGTTTCACCATTTGCTCGCTCCAGGAGCTGCGCTGGATGACGGCCGCTGTCCGCGCCCAGTTTGATGACCTGTTGTCCCGCATCGGAGCGAGGATCACCCTCGCCCTCATCCATCTAATCTGTCATTTAGTTTGATGATAAATAGAGCTAACCTCCAAAAGTTATTAACCTGTCCTGTGATTTTTTCTCTCTCACGTCCAGACACGAACTTGTGCACAGGTATGTTGGTTGTCTTTACATCATAATAATATTTCATATAATCTAGATATGGAATAAATAACATTCAATAGAAAATGAACATGTCTCGTATATTGAAATAAAGTTTTAAGAGATCAAATATTTGCTTTGTTGTGCATTAGAACCATATTACCAAATAATAATATTAAAGCATCCAGATCCTTCACCACGTGACAGCAGCAGGCTCCTGATTGGTTGACGCCAAAGTTCAGATTTTTCAACTCGGGCGGCAGACGCGAATTCGCGTCAAACACGTGAACGCACAAATAGCACTAACTAAATCATTCGCGCGTAACGTGCTAAACGCACCATTCGCGCAAATTATGCGTATTCGCATTTACCGCGCCGCGCTCTACGCCTCATTCGCACTACAGGAATCTTTTACGTGCGTAACGCGTCTTTGCATTGACTTACCATTGAAATCATTCGCGCCTATTCGGATCCGGTGTGAACGCACCATAAGGCTTCGAGTTAAAAGTAACAACAAAAAAAGATGAACGAAAGCAATCCTCTCGAAAGACTACAGTTACCAGCGTCTCACTAAATCACTCACGATGTGGTCCCTTTTTTCTTTGAACTAAATGAGCCAGTGGCTCCCGTTGGCCAGTCAGAGCCGAGACTCCTCTAGTACCCTGCGCTTCAATGGCAGTGTTCGAGCCGTTAAACTGGAGCTGGAGACCAGGTCCACTGCGGAGTGGCTTCCCAAAGTGCGGATACAGACGGTCAAGACGATTAGGCTTAGGAGTGCATTACAGTCGCATGCCATCATCACAAGCCCCTCCGCCGAGAGGAACACACGCAAGGCAAAGACGCGGATTACAACACTTCAACAGGGATGCAACGTCTCAGAACACGCAATGACATGGATCAAGTCATATAGTCCAACATTCGATATTTGTATAAACTGGCACTATAAACGTTTGCCTTGCTAATAACTGGACGAGACGACTTCAGCGTTTATGGGCTCGTGTGGAGGCACAATATTTAAGGTGAATCTTCAGCAGAGAACATTTATCAGCAGAGACACGAACACCAGCAAAGGAGGACGCACCTCGAGAGATGATGAAAGACGAAGACAGTGAGTTGGCAGATTCACGTCTCCTTGTATAGGTACGTACCTGGAGACTTCTAACTAATCTTTGTAACATTAAAGGCAAATGAAAGCACCCGTCTGTAATCATTAGGGAATGCTTGAGTGCTTGGCGGCCTCACTGGTCCCGGGCCGCGGGCTCGTCGTGCTCCAGCTTGTAGGAGATGTGTTTACAGCATAGGCGAGAGAGAGAGAGGTCACACCTGGAGGCTCGTGCGGGGTCGCACCGGCCCGTCATGCGCTCCACCAGCCGGCCCAGCCGTGAGCAGGCGTTCTGCCCCTCCGAGAAGCAGCACACCGAGTCCACGCATCCGATGCCCTTGTACTCCTCAATAGACTGCAGGAGGAAAAGGAGAGGTGAGCCAGAACACACCAAACAGCTTCTAACAAACATTTCTGTATATATCATTTGCTCATTAATGTTCATAATGGGCAATGACTAGATGCCTTTATTTTGTCATATTACACGTCAATCTGTTTTATATTTCGCAACACTTTCACAAAAACGGCACAAAATTGGGCTTAAAGGGCTAGGTAATTCTGCCATCGTTTACTCCCCCTTTTGTCGTTACAAACCTGTAAAACTTTCGCTCATCTTCAGAACACAAATTAAGATATTTGGGATGAAATCCAGCAACGTTAGACAAAAATCACAGTTCGTTACGTACCTCGGCTTTAAAGTCACGATTCGGTATGTTTTTCGATATAGCGGAAAGAAAAAAAATGCCAGAGAAATTTCCTATTTGTTAAAATTTTTCAATAAAGTGCGAGTTTTCCTACATCGTAAAACTTTCAGGTTTATAAATGGGGGTCATTTTTGAAGGATGAACAAATAATGTTTTGGTCATCACATTAAAAATAACATTTAAACATATATTTATTTATATATTATTTGAGTTCTGAAGTGTTGGAAAAAGATGTGTGAAGTACTTGAAAGCATTTCACCATTCCAGCCAAACTGGTTCCAGTTAGTGTTACTATATTAAATCCGTGGTGAATGTTGCTGGTCTGTGGACGTAAAGTATTACTAGTTCATTCCATATACAGTATAAGAAGTGGTATTGAGACAAGTGAAGCCCATTTTTAGCGATTTTTTTAGGACTTCCGTTCCTGACGCGCAGACTCAAACAGAGCTTGACGACGTAGATGTGACGTGAGCAACCCGTCTGTCTTCTAGTACTGTGGCATGAGAAATCTGAATCATTCCCTTCCGAAACATGCAGAGGTGGAGAGTGTGAATAGGAGCTGTCCATGAGCTAGAAGAAGGAGACAATTTTGCTACGTATTCTGATGAATTATTTAGTAATTTTGCCTCCACGTTTCCCCGATGCGCACGAGCTTCTCCTCCTGTCCATACGGTAATCTCTCTACTGTGCGACAGAGAGTCGCGTGGGTATGACGCAATCGTTAGCCTACTTTCACTAAAACTGCTTCTACGGGGCCATAACATAAGCTACAAGGTAATGGAGCATTTTATACATTGTCGTGTTTCTTTAGAAATAAATAAAGGACAAATGGGGTCTTCAAACGCCTCAGGTGTAAAGTTATTCGCTGTCAAAGTGACGCCAAAATGAATGGGAGTCAATGGGAATGCTAACACAAGTGAAGCTCTGCTACAAGATGGCGGCTCCCGGGAGGCTTCAACTTCCGGTCGATGGATTACCCCCTTGGTTCATTCACGGCACAATGTTTCTCCTTTCTCCTCCACAACTTTGTGGTGGTCGCATTTTGTCGGCAGGAAAAATGGTCCAAGGAATCGTTCGGTTTGTATACGTACCGAACCGGAAGCCTCGAACCGGAACGGTTCAATACGAATGCATGTACCGTTACACCCCTAGGCAACATCATTGCAACTTTCAAGGCCCAGAAAGTCCATGTGACTACAGAACACCATCTTAAATGTTATGAAGCGAGCGATGAGAATACTCTGTGCGCAAAATAACGACTTTATTCAATAATCTCTTCTCTTCCACGTCATTCTCCTGTTGACGCAGTGTAAACAGTGCAGCACTTCCTGATTCTACGTGGTGTCTTCACTACCTTTCTAGGCCTTGAAAGTTACAATGACATTGCTGGATTTCATCAAAAATATCATAATTTGTGTTCTGAAGATGAACGCGAGTCTTACGGGTTTGTAACGACATAAGAGGGAGTAATTACTGACAATTTTCGGTTTTGGGTGAACGATCCCTTTAAGGGTGTTTACAAAGGGCCTCGCTCTGTGTCATCTGTGTCAAATGTGGATTTCAAGTACTGAAAAGCCCAAAGTATACTTCAGTTTTGAAGTGAACACTTGCATAGGTATGCGCCTGACACATGCGCATTAGAAAGTTTTATCTCTGTCCAGTGTCTGTACTACTTTTGTCTAGAAGATAAAAACTTTTTTTAATCTAGCGTAGAGAGTTTCTCTTAAAGGACAACTACGGCGCAAAATGAACCTTTGGTCTAATTACACATTGCTACCTATTCAACCGTTATCTGAGATTTGATTTCATGATTGCCGAATGTAAATAGTTTTATTTCTAAAAACAGTTTAGCCTATAACGCTAGTACAATGCTAGTATATAGGGCATAGAGTAATGACAAATAAAAATCGCTTGTTATTACCACTAACAAGGCTCAAAATAGCCCCACACCAACACGACAGCATAACAAGGGTCCCTACATTAAAACCGAAGCATTGAGAACTTTGTCAGTGTCCAAACAGTTTAATAAGAAGATATTTTATACACACAGTCAACTTCGCGAATACAGGAAGAAGCCATCTTTGAAAAATAGTCTCTACCAGTCGATCTACGAACGCTGATCCAAGTGCGCTGAACTGTGCAGAATCTCATATGGTCCGTTGTTTCCGGAAGAAACACAAACACAAACCGTTTACTTGTCTTCAATATGTACACGTAGCCTACTGTTCGCGCTCACCTTATCACCTTATTTACATCTCACCAGCGCACTTGGATCGGCGTTCGTAGATCGACTGGTAGAGACTATTTTTCCAAGATGGCTTCTTCCTGTATTCGCGAAATTTACTGTGTGTATAAAACATCTGCTTATTAAACTGTATGGACACTGACAAAGTTCTCAATGCTTCGGTTTTAATGTAGGGACCCTTGTTATGCTGTCGTGTTGGTGTGGGGCTATTTTGAGCCTTTTTAGTGGTAATAACAAGAGATTTTTATTTGTCATTACTCTATGCCCTATATACTAGCATTATACTAGCGTTATAGGCTAAACTGTTTTTAAAGATAAAACTATTTACATTCGGCAATCATGGAAACAAATCTCAGATAACGGTTGACTGGGTAACAATGTGTAATTAGACTAAAGGTTCATTTTGCGCCGGAGTTCTCCTTTAAACACTTCATAAAAGCGCTAGTCAACGTGGACGTCTATTGTCGGTGCTGTTCTAGTAGGTTGTTTTTAATTTAATTTTCGACTGTAATACAAGAAACAGCCTAGTGTTGCCCTTGTAAACTAACTTATTAAAAAAATAAGAAGGCGCATACGCAAGCTGAGTGTACATAGTATAGGTGGTTTGTAAAATCGAGTTGTACATGAAACCTAGCCTATCTGTAAAAAGCAAGTGTGCCGCACACAACCTGAAATGTGAAGCCAAAATATTTGTATCGCCCCCTGGTGACTGGCTGCAGTACAGGTCTTAAAACTCGTCCTCTCAAACCAAACCAAAACATCCGATTACAATTCCTCCCCCAAAAATGGTTTCTGTCAATTACAGAAGTTCTCATCAGGCTAAGTGGTAATTATTTTTAGTTAGTTAATTATTTGATGCTAGCATCAAGATTGACAGCTGTGTTTGCGGGGGGAAGCTTGATACCGCGGCTACACCTCATGGACTCAGGCTCCACATCATCTAATCATTGATTTCAACGGCCACTCCAAGAATATTTTCACTTCATTTTTCTATAGTGGAAAGAAGTGGAGACACGTCAACCATCTTTTTTACAGTTTATGGTAAAACTGAAGCAAACTTTGGATTAAAGGGGATGTGAGAAGCACAATATACAGACCTTATTTAAAGATAATGAAATTGTGGATTAGTTTCATTATTTTATGATTTGTAGTGATAAACTTAAATGAACCTTTTTAGTAAATATTAGTTCGATCAGTTTTCATACACTAACTTTATTTGAAATAGTCGATGGATATTTTTTCCCTACAATGAATTAAATGTCAGTTCAATAGATTGTCAGAGAACTTGAGAACTTGCTTTAAATGAACAAAGCAATGATGCACCAATTTGTACACTATTTGAAGAAAGTGTCACATGTGCAAATAAGACACATGTTTATAATAATAACAACACCTAAACCAAACCTTGAATATGGGACAGGACATCCCAATAATGGGAGGCATTGCTTGAAACACTGAACTCAAATCATAAATGCAGTGCATGGTTTAACATACATGTATACATGAGAGGTCTGAAATGAGACAATGAATAACCTAAAAAAAAAAAAAAAGGATTAAAGTGATAAATGATGCCGTCTCTTCAGAAACACAGACATCCTTGGCCTCTGCCTGGACAGAGATTACAGTTCCACTCAACTCCTTTATTCAATACTCAATTACTGAAGACGAGCTTGTTAAATTACAGCCTGAGCAATCCAACAAGAATTAATTCAAATCAGATGCACTCAAAAAACACCCAGAGAAGAAAGAGTGTGTGTGCGGCCAGAGCTGAGGAAATCAATTCTCTGATCTCGCTCAAGCAACCTGACTAGGCATTATGCAAACTACCAATATTAACATTAAACCCCTCTTGAGCATGCCTTGCAGAATTGAGACAAACGTGTATGTTGACTAATGCATAAACGAGGACTTTGGGTCCAGCACACTTAGTTCCAGAGGAACGGTTTTTAATGATTGATCTACTAGCTCACAAATAACATGAGCTATAATGACAGACAAGTGATCCTCAAATATTTCTTGTTAACCTGAGCTCGCTGGGTTAAAGATTTAGCTATTACGACATGGACCATGGTAGTTCTGCTAAAAATAAAAAATCAAAATCAATATAAACAGGAAGTAGCTGAAAGATTGAATGCAGTGTGACTTCAACCGTGCCCTGTAGTTGTAAATAACGAGTCAGTTCTAATCAAAAGCAGAACCTGTCCAGTAATCGCTGGAGGGGTTGAGGAATAACCAGCAGATGAAAAACGACTGCTGTCATTTCATCTCAGCTACAAATAAATGTGCTAGCCATTAAACACACCACATTTACCCATTGGATACCTGTAGAGGTTTATGAACAACTGCGGCTGAAACTGCAACTCACTGTAGCAAACGTTTGAGTTCTGAGCGATGCACACCAGTCAA